TTTAACTCATGTGAATTAAATTAATTTCAAGAAGCAGCACATAGTATGTTTGCAGTGAATATGCTTTTCAATATAGCATCTTTACCATTTAGGATGGGGGGTTAGACTTAGAATGAGAGGATTAGATAAGTGAAAGAATTAGAGCAGGTTTGAAGTGAATCCAGAGGTTGTAGAATTACCTTACTATCTTTACAAAGCTATTAACTTCAGGGGGGATAGAGAGAGTACAGGAATAAGGACAAGAATATATCCCCTTAACAATAACAGGCGCTTGCCTTCCTTTAAAGGTACAGAGCCATGAGTGATGTAAAATAATGGAGAAAAGAACATAAAGAGAAACCCCTTCTAAAAACAAAAATAATAAAAGAAGAAGTCTGAGTTAGGACCGGAGCTGGAATAAAAAGGGAGATGAGGGACAATATGGTGGAGCAAGAGACTGAGTTGGAGAGAGAGGACAGGAAAAAGAAAGAAATTTTAGCGTGAAATGAGGAAAAGAAAAAAGAGAGAGAGAGAAAGAAAAGAATTTGAAGGGCCTCTTTCAGACTGTCTCTGTTCTCATATTATACCACATGTACAGCCATATGCAGAACCGAATCCCCTGGTCTCAGCTAGCCAATGGCAGTTCCCCACAACTGAGACTGAACACAGTCTACAAGGCCTAACTTGAGTTTCCCTACCCTCAGGGTTGAACTCCACTCAGTTCTATTACAGGTTTCCCCTGCCCTTTCTTTAAAGATGTTCAAAGTTGGGAACTCAGAAAACTACCCTTCATGAGAACCTATGCCTCTGCAGAGTTGGTCTAAAGACTGGCCCAATCAGGAGGTTTGAGAATGGTGGGGGAGGGCACCCGCGCGGCTACCTTCCTTACTGGGTCTGTTGTCGTGCAGTCCAGGAGGTCGCTCACCCGCCGGGTGATCTCAGGCAGGCAGGCAGCTGAAGAGACCCTCTCCGGGGTCTTTGGGTCCTTGCTGTGTCTGTTGTCGTGCAGTCCAGGAGATCGCGCACCCACTGGGTGATCTCAGGCAGGCAGGCAGCTGAAGAGCTCAATCAAGGATTATTTAGAAGCCAAAATGATGAGTCCATTCATTTCCATTTTTGAAAAGGGAAAATGTATGTGAGAGAGAGAGAGAGAGAGAGAGAGTTGGAGGTCTCATCAGATCCCTGTCAGGACATACCTCTGATGTGATACCAAGGGAACTAGAAAACTAGAAGCCTACAATAAAATTTATATCACTTTGGAAAAGGAAATTCAGGAAAACATCAGAAAATGGAAATATATCCCCTGTTCCTGGATAGGGAGAACCAATATTATTAAAATGACTATCCTTCCAAAATTTGTATACTGACTAAATGCATTCTCAATCTGAATACCACTAGCATTTCCCATAGAACTAGAAAAAATAATACTAAGATTCATAGGGAAAAGAAGAGACCCAGAATAGCTAAAACAATCACGTGTAAAAAAGCAAAGCAAAAGGCATCACAATCCCACATTTGAAGTTATCCTATAAAAGCTATAGTGGTTAAACAGCATGGTACCAGCAGAAAAACAGGAATGTGGATCAATGGAGCAGAACACAAAAGGCAGAAAAACCCCAGGCACATTCACCTATTTGGTCTTTGACAAAGGAACCAAAAATATTCGCTAGAGAAAAGGTAGCTTCTTTGTCTAAAAATTCATTTTATTAATACATTTTGGATATACATAGTGAAACATTCATCATAGGGAATTTGTGCCTGTACATGATATATCTTGACTCTTCTTTTTTCCAGTCCCCTCTCCTCTCTTCAAACCTGCTTCCCTACCTTATTTACAAAATTTTTGTTTCCATTTTTTACTTTTCCCTTTCTTCTTTTCACCCCGTCTTTTTCCCTTTTTCTAGTGAACATTTTCTTCCCATTTCATAATATCTATTATAATTTTTGATCCTTATTTGCACTCTCACACCTGAGAAACAATGCAATATTTAAACATATGTGTCCAATTTATTTCACTGAAGAGTACAGTCTCAAGGTGCCTATCTTTCTTCAAGGCAGAGTAAGATTTCATGTATAAAACCCCCACTTTTTTTTTAGCCATTCATCACTTGATGGACATGTGAGACATTTCCAAGATTTAGCTATTATTTAGCTATTAAACACAGGAGTATACATAATCCACTGTGGTATGATGCTTTTAATTCTTTTGGGATGATACCAAGAAGGAGAATAGCTGGGTTGAAAGGAACCACTAGTTATAGATTTTTGAGGAATCTCCACACTGATTTTCACAGTGGTTGCACCAGTTTACACTTCCACCAACAGTAAGAATTATTTTCTCCCCACAGCCCCACCAGCATTTGTTACTGGTTGATTTCTTGATAGCCATTCTTTCTGGGATGAGATGAAATTTCAGTGCTGTTTTATTTTTCATACTCTCAAATGACTAGTGATGTTGAACATTTTTTCATACATTTATTTACCATTTCTACTTCTTCATTTGAGAAGCGTCTATTCATTTCAGAAGCCCATTTTTGGACTGGGTCTTTAAATTTGGGTTGTATGATTTTTTTTTAATTCTTCATATATTCTAGATGTTAGTCTGTTGAGGAACAGCTGGCAAAAAAGAATTTGCCTGTACTGTTGGTTTGCTCTTCACTTGGTTGGTGGTTTCTTTTGCTGTGCAAAGGTCTTTAATGAGCACGTTTGGAGTTGTTTCTGTATCTTATCTGTTCCATTGATCCACAGATCTGTTTTTGTTTTGTTTTTGCCAGTAACATGCAATTTTTGTCATAGTAGCTTTGTAGTATAATTTAAAGTCAGGGATTGTGATGCCCCCTGCCATGCCTTTGTTGCCCAAAATTGCTTTTGCAATTCTGTCTCTTCTGGTTTGAGGTGAATTTTATGATTGTCTTCTCTAATTCTGTGAGATATGCTATTGGTATTTTGATCAGGATTGCATTCCATTTGCATAGTAATTTTGAAAGTATGGCCATTTTCACTATATTGTTTTTTACTACCCAAGAACAGGGGATATCTTTTCATTTTCTGACACCTCTTTGATCTCTTTTTTCATAGTACTGTAGTTTTCATTGCAAAGGTTTTTTACTTGCTTTGTTGGACTGATTTTTAAGTATTTCATTTTTTTCTGATGCTATTGTGAAGGGTGTAGTTTTCATAATTTCTCTCTCAGTAACTTTGTTATTTGTGTATTGCGATGCTATTGATTTCTGACTGTTTTCTTTGTATTCAGCTACACTGGTGAATTTGATTATTAAATCTAGAAGCCCTTTGCTAGAATTTTTTGGGTCTTCTATGTGGAGTATCTTGTCATCTGCAAATAATGATAATTTAACTTCTTTTCTTATCCTTACTCCTTTTATTTTTTTCTCTTGTCTAATTTGCTCTGCCTAATGTTTCCAGAACTATATATAATAACAGAGGTGATGGTTGACATCCTTGTCTTGTTTCTGATTTTAGAATGAAAGATTTTAGTTTTTGACCATTTGTTATGATATTGGCAATTGCTTCTCAGCCTTTTGGCTAAGATCAAGTGTATTATGATGTAGGCCACCAGTTTGTCATGGATGGCCTTTATCAGATTGTGATAAAGACTATATATTCCAATTTTCTGTAGGGGTTTATCATGAATGAGTGTTAGACTTCGTCGGTTGGTTTTTCTGGAACTACTGAGATGGTGTTATGGCTTATATGTAGATGTTCCTCCAAAGCTTCATAGGTGGGGCTTTTTCAGAGGTGGCTAGTATGTGATGCTCGGATCTATTCATAGTACAAAACTAAGATCTAAGGCACTAGGAGTAAGGGTGTGAGTCCTACCTGACCTTAAGGTGGGTAGCCTGGATAAGATATGAAGGATAGAAAGAGCTGTGGTTGTCCCTTGTTTTTTTCTACCTTCTGCCCATCATGAACTCTTTTTCCTCTGCCATGGGCATCTGTCATGCCACCATGCCTTGGACCCAGCTGATTATGGACTGAAACTTCTACAACCGGTGAGCTAAATAAATCTTTTTCCCTTTAACTTTGGGTGTTGGGTACTTTGTCTTAGCAAGGAGAAAAGTAACTAAGACAGATGATCATGTGGTTTTTTTGTTCTCAGTTCTATTTATATAGTTTATTAATTTATTGATTTTTACATATTGAACCATCTCTGCATCTGTGGGATGAATCCTACTTGGTCAAGGTGTATAATCTTCTTTATGATTTGCTGCATTCTGTTTGCCAGTATCTTATTGAGGATTTTTTCATCACTGGTTATTAGGGAGATTGGCCTGTAGTTCTCTTTTATTATTGAATCCTTTTTTGGTTTTGGTATAAAGGTAATGTTTGCCTTGAGGAATGGGTTTGCAAGTAATGCTTTCCTTTCAACTTCATTAAAGAGTTTGAGGAGTAGTAGCATTAAATTTCTAAATTTCTTGTAAAATTTAGCAGTGAATACTTTAGGACTGAGATTTTCTTTGTTGGTAGGTTTTTAATTACATCTTCAATATCATTGAGTGATATTGGTTTATTTAAAATTTGTATATGTTCTTGATTCAGCTTTGGTAAGTTCACATGCATCTAGGGATCTGTCCATTTCTTCTGTGTTTTCCATCTTATTTGAATGCAGGTTTTTGACTTATCGATGATCTGGATTCCTGTAAGATCTGTTGTGATTGTACCCTTTTCATTCCTAACTGTATGAATTTGAGTTTTTTATTTTTTTGATGAAGTTAGCTAAGGGTTTGTCAATTTTATTTAATCTTTCAAAGAATCAACTCTGATTCATGAATTATTTGTTTTTTTTTTTTCTTAGTCTTGATCGCATTAATTTCTGCACTGATCTTTGTAATTTCCTCTCTATACAAGCTTTGGTCTTGACTTGTTCTTCTTTTTATAGAACTTTGAGGTTCAAATTAGGTTGTAGATTTGAGTTTGCTCTGTTTTTCTGATGTGAAAATCCACTGTTATGTATTTCTCTCATAAGACTGCTTTCAAAGCATTCCATTAAGTTGGATATCTGTTTGAATCTGTTTCACAGATTCCATTTCTTTCCTATGTTGGGCATTCAAGGTTTCCATCATTTTTCTAAGCTCCTAAATTAAAAAAAAATGTGTGTCTAGTCTAGATTCCTAATCAAGTAGACCTGAGCAATCATTTCTGGTTTGATTTTTTTTTCTGTAGCCCCATTCATCTGTTTTTTTACTTTTGCAGCTACTATTTGAAAAAATTCAGGTGTGTGGCTTCTGATTTCCTTCACCTCAGTGTCCCCTAGACTTGTTCTGGGTAGACTGAAGGTCTGGGATTGCACCTTGCTTCTGCACCCACAGATGAGATGTCAGTGTCTGTTTGGCCTAGCATCCAGTCCTTTGGTACTGACTAAGCCTCTTTAATAAATGGTGCTGGGAAAATTGATCATCCACGTGCAGAAGGTTGCATCTAGACTAATATATTTCATGATATACTAAACTAAAATAAAATGGATCCAAGATCTAAGTGCTAAAATAGAAACACTCCCTCTGTGGAAAGCCAAAATAGAACCAAAATAAAACTCTTTAAGACTTAGACATAAGCTAGAAATTTCCACACAGAACCCCAGTGGCATAAGAAATAATATCAATAATCAATAAATGGGAACATATAGCATTAAAAAGCTTCTGAAAAACAAATGAAAATATCAAGAGAGTGAAGAGATAACATACATAATGGGAAAAAATTTTCCAGCTATTCCTTAGACAGAGGATTAATATCTAGAATATATCAAGAACTCAAAAAATTGGACTCTCCCCAAAATAAAAGGAGAAGGAGAAGGAGGAAGAAGAGAAGTAGTACAAATGGCCTATAAACAAACACATGAAAACATGTTCAGCCCCACTGTCCATTAGAGGAATGCAAGTTAAAACTACATTAAGATACCATCTTATCCCCCAAAAATGGCCATCATCAAAAAATTAAATAATAACAAATGCAGGCAAGGATGTGAGGAAAAAAATGAACTCTTTTACATTGTAGGTGTGAACGTAAACTATCATGACCACCATGGAAATCAATGTGAAGTGCCCTCAAAATACTAAAAATAGAAGTTCCATTTGACTCAGGCCCTCTTCATCTTCCCAAAAGTGTTGGAAGTCATCATATTACAGGGCTACATAAAGACCTTTGTTTACAGCAGCACAATTTATAATAGCTAGATCTTAGAAACCTGCATACATCCATGAACATATGAATGCATAAAGAAAATAAGGCATTTACACACAATGGGCTACTATTCTGTCATAAAGAAAGATAAATTTAAGATATTCATAGCAAGCAGATGCAACTTAAAAACACAAATGAAATGTTAGATTCACAAATTTATTACATGATTCTCTTAGTTCAGAAACTATATAGATGGTGTAGGAAGATGTTCCAATAATCTTTCAAATTATCTACTCCATTGTCTCAAAGATATTTTAAGATATATGCTAATTTGTTTCATTTATACTACTAGTTTCTTTTTGTTCATTGAAAAGAAAGTTTTGTCCTTTTATTTGTTTGTTCTCCGTAAGAAAGAGTCTTTTTTTTTTGTCTATCACTTGCACTATGAGTAGTATTTTGGCTATTCTTTTAAGATTATGATATAGTGTATTAAAAAATGTTATTTTCCAATTATTTTGTTATGAAATTTTGTCTTTATTAATAGAACTGGTTTTTTATATTTTCTTTATTAATTTCTACTTGTGTTACTTAAAAAATAAAATAAGAAATTGGTAATTAATATAAAGCATTTTATACTCTTGCAGGTTAATAAATGAACAGCATGAACAAAATACACTTGCATGCCAGAACCAGCCTATGGCCAGAGAGTTTACCACAGTTCCTGAAGTTCTAAAGTTTTCTTTTGGTATGTATCCCATGTAGCCCTTAGGGTTCACTGGCCCTTTGAGACTTGGTCTCAGATTTCCTGTGTTTGCCGTTCTAAGGTTGGGTTATCCAAAAGGCATGATAGAAGGCTGTAATTTATGTTCTCAGGGGTGTTTCCAGGTCCAGTTTCCACTGTAAGGGGCTGACCCTTCCTAGCAAGATTGTGCTCTAGGGGCAATCAGGATATTTCTGCGCACATTCTCCAATGGACTTGGACTGGCAGAGCAGCTGCCCTAAGATTTACTTGTGGTACTTCTGTCTGGTCCCCCACCACTCCACTAAACAAGCAGATGTGATTTCTGTGTGGGTGGGCCAGCTGCTATCTGGGCTCCAGAAAGCCTCATGATGGAGCCTTGTAGTGAAATTTCCACAAGGCAGGAATATAGGAGTCTATTGTTCTTTGACATTAGAAGGAGGGAAATCTAAGGGACTGGCATGGAAAATTAATTCTCGTTTATGTTTCATTTTCCTTTTGCATCAAAGTCAGAGGAAGGGGAAAGGACATCACTGCCAGCTTCAAAAGGTAGCAGTGTCCTTTGGGGTAACTGCAGGAAGGAACTCAGTAGCAGATGAGTTTAGAGGACATCAGTTAGCCTCATGGGATCTCCAGCACCTTGCCTGTGATGCTGGTGAATAACTACTCACAGTAGATGTGTGGGTACCTCCTTGGGCACCAGTAAGGATATCAACACAGGAGAAGCAGGATGGGACCCCATGTAGAGGCCAGAAAGCTGCTGTTAGAGTACATGGGAGACACCCTCTGCAGACTCCTCAAACAATCGGAAGTGAATTTGAAGCGGCTAAACCTCAACAGTATGAGTCTGGAAAGATCCGAGAAATTTTACTTTGTCATCAGTACTAAGTCTCTATTCTTTAAAAACTGCAATAGTTTTATTTTTCCTCTTGTAATAGTAGTATCTGCTTGTAAAAAAAATAAAATCCGGAAAATTCAGAAAAGTATGAAGAAGAACATGAAAGTCACTTGGGCTTTCACTGTGTGAAGATAATCACTGTTAACGTCTGAATATTAGCTTTCTGGACTTTTAAAATAGCCAGGTGAAACAAGGTAAAGAGAAAATCTTATTCTGTTTACTTCCCTCTCAAGGCCAAATGTTGGTTGGAGTCAAAGCTTACAGAAATCAGTGAAAAAAGACTGAAAAAAAAAAAAGCTATCAAGTTGGTGGGAGTGTGAGTTCCACCATGCTCTTTAGACTTTCAATAAAGTCAGCAAAACTCTCCAAAGGCTGGCTGGGAATGGACTTATTGTGAAAGAATTGACTTTACATCTGGATTTTATGAGATGAAACAAGAGTAGCACACAAAGGCACAAAAGTGCAGAGACAGAAACATGAAAGAAACCTCAGGGGAGGGCACTGAACTTTTAGAGGCCTCAGGTTGGAGTTAAGGTAGTCCAAGATTCACCAGCACCATTAGTGCCACCCCAGTGGGAAACTTATCAACTCTAATTTACTTCCCTTCCACAATGTGTGTGTGTGTCAGGTGGGTATCTTTTCATTCCTGGTCAAAATACCTGAGAAAATCATGGGGGGAAAGGTTTTATTTTCGGCTCATGGACCCCTGGTTTTCGTCAATTTCAACCCATGACCACTTGGTCCCTTGCTTTGCGTCTATGGCAACATGGCAGTCATGACAGGAGCCCATGGTAGAGAAGATCTATTCACCTCAAGGTGGCCAGGAAGCAAAAAGAGAAGGGAAGAGGCTGTGGTTGGCCTCAATTGCCTCTTAAGAACACAGCCCCAGTAATGTAATTTCCTTCCACTAGGCCCATCTCTCAAAGGTTCCACCCT